AATTAGTTGAAGTGCTTATGATCAAGATTTATCTGAAAATTAAAAGATACCTTAAGTCGTGAACTTCTATTTAAATGAATTATGTTATTTATACCTTTCGTTAATCCGACTTCACCTCCTCTGGGGTCAGATCCTACATCCAATAAATGCATGAGACCCAACCCTGAGGGAGGGAGTGAGGCGGGGTAAATCAACATGTACTCCAACGGGTACATGCAACAAGATTGTTATTTGAATACTTGTTTGGATGTTACTTCTTTTTTTACTTATAACACGAATAATTAGATATTATTGTTGTTGTCACTTGTCATCGTTGAGTAAATAATAAAAATTACGTAAAATTATGTTTTAAAAATCAAGACAAATGATCATATGAGCCTGTTTGAGTCCCCTTTTTTTTTTTTACGAAAATGAATTTTGAAATAGTAATATGATGGAGAAAGTGTGGTTCAAAATAAGGAAAATATTTTGATTTATATATAATATTACTTTATTGAAAAATGTGTAGTTAAAAATAAGAGAGAAAAATGTATTTTGAAAATAATAAAAACTAAACGGAGCTAAATCTAGCCAAAAATACACATATTTGTCAATTATAACTAGATATAAAATAGAATTTTATTGTGTTCAACATAAACTTATAGTTTCTAATGTGCAGAACAACTACTACTCAAATAATATAGTTTCTTAATTCATTGTTCAATACATTATAATTCCACAGAGTAAAGATTCATGACAACCCACCAGCACCTAGATTGGTCTGGGTGAGGTGATGGATCTTTATTGATTACAAGGAACGTTACTCGATGCCAAAGACGGTTTTTTTTTGCAAGGAATTAAAATTATTTTAATATTAATTGATAAAATAATCATTTAATGATTTTGAAGAAATGTTAAATTCTAGCTTCTGAAATATATAAGTTAATCCAAACACGTCAGAACAAGACTACTAGAAGATTCTGTTAACAATAATTTATAATCTCGAAAAACATTTTTAAACTCTTGTTTCATGGTTCAAATAATTCGAAACTTAATTACAGGTTGTTTGAGCAAGTATTATGATACATTTTGTTAAACTGTATTATTGAATGTACATACAAAAATCATAAACGTACATTTTGTTAAATTGTATTATCAGCGGGAACGGATTCA